TAAAATACAGATAAATAATACACATATGCCATGTGTAAGTATAAAAAAGTATAAAAAGTATAAGTATAAAGCATGGTTATATTGTTATACATAGTACCTTTGACTACCTTTGACTTTTATTCCATACAATAGATGTGTGTGGAATAGACCAAAGTAGGTCATAAGCAACACATCTTCACTGAAAACTGAAAACATGTGTCAGTGAAGATGTGTTGCTTATGACCTACTTTGTTCTATTCCACACACATCTATTGTATGGAATAAAGCTCTGGGGCAACTCACCCTCTGCCATAGATGCTTTCACATGGCAGAAAAAGGCTCTCAGAGTTATGGTTGGGCTAGATTCTTCAGACTCTTGTAGAACAATTTTTCCACTATTTAATATAATGACCCTTGCTTGAATTTTCATCCACAGCAATCTTATTTTTGTAAAATCTAATTTAGAAACTTTTAATCAACAGTTATCAGTTCATGATCATGACACAAGAAATAGAGGTAATCTTGTTAAACCTAATATTAGACTCCACAAGTACTTTAAGAGCCATAAATACCAACAACTGTTGTTCTTCAATAAACTGCCAGAGATTGTGAGGCTGTTGCCTATTAAGAAATTTAATGGTGTAATTACAAAATGGTTAAAAAGTAAGGCTTTCTACACTGTAGATGAATTTTTAGACGCTAAAACTGATTGTATTATAGACTGACTGTGATGTATTTCTGCACTGACGATGCCTATTGTAACGTTCTGTTATTTAATGGCAAATAAATATTCTTGATTCTTGATTCTTGATTCTTGATACTAGACATTCCATCCCCATGTTAAATTTATAGCCAGCTTTTTTTATCAAAATCGTTGTAGTTGATGTGAGCCACATACGGATTGCGCTGATCTAAATTACTAAATTCTGCCGAATACAAAATCTTTTTAATCAAGTCAAACTTAGAGAAGGACTTATGATAAGTTATAGCAAATGTTGTACCCATCAAACTAGTAAGCAACAAAAAAATAAGGTATGAAATAGATTTTTGGACCCTAGCACATTCTGTGACTGGCTCAGACAACTATATTCATTTTTAGTAAAACATTGGCTACAGTAATATCAATGACTTTATAGTACATAGTGAGAGGAGTTGAGTTTATAGAAAAAGGATGAGAACTTGATTCTTTTCTGCGCTGTATTTTGTTCATCCTTTAGTTTTCAATTCACGTTTTATTTCATACTAACTTCAATTAGTAGTATATATTTATTTGGATATTTAATGGTTCGTGTGATTTTTATTTAATATGGATTTTAAAATAATGTTGTTTTAGTCACCTTAGACATTTTAATTTTGATTGTATTATTTATGTTGTATATAGCGTTCAGAATGCAATTCTTGTGATTTAACTTTTTGACTTGAGATGCACTTGAATTTTTAAAGGAGTATTGCTGATTCATAAGATAAAAAATATACTTATTATTAACGTTGCAGGGAGTAATGTTTCAAATACAATTGCTTACTCTTATTTAAAATGACAAAAACACATGTAAAGATATAAAACTAAAAATTTACAAGAATATCTAATTTTATTTAATACTCTGTAGAAATCTATTGAAAAAGAACTATAAATCATAAATATTAAAAAAAACTGTTCTCAATTGAGTGAGAATGTGTCAAAACCCTAATTGATGTTTGACTGTTTGGTGTTGCATAACTGCCTCTCTCATCTCTTTGTGTAAACTAACAGGCTGAACATTTATGTCCCATATTTAGTCCTAATATTTACAAGCTTGTCAAATGAATACTCTCAGTCAGTACGCTTGTTAAGGTTTTATTTTCAAACCTCGTAACTTATTGGTATTTAATAATATGTGTAGTAATTTAATTGATTATAAGTACATTAGTAATATGTTTAAGTGTAACCCAGGTTTAATTATCATTAAAATAACACTGCAACTGACTTGATGATGTGTCAGAAGTAGGTTTTAGTAAATTCCCAACACATTTGAACACTCTCTGGTGTGAATATGTTCATTACAAGTAGGTGTGAAGATGCGGTGATGACAAACGAATTTCATCCTCCTCCTCCGACTCTCGTATCAAGCTTGACTCAACATGCTACACTGTTCATTAGCGCTGCTTTGAGGCTCTTCTGAGCTCAAAATTATAAAATACTAAAGATCTCAGCGTTCTGACTTTAATTGTTACTCATTATTTATAGACTAGATGTAACCAAAAAGGAGACAAAAGCAAAAAATTGTAGTTTTTAAAATTTATAGAACACAGTTTTAATGTAATAACTAATTACAATTATTTGAAATCGGAAGACAATATGATTAAATTAAATCACTTGCTAGAGACACCCACTACTATCTCAGTGAACCTATTAATACGTTTATAAGAATATTTGTATTAATTATCAATGAAATTATTTTTGCCTGAAACTAAAAACACATTACAATATTTAATATATATTCAGCTATATAAATTAATTATAATATCGGGTGTGCCAAAAAGAATATATTAAAATTAAACTGATATAAACACTGTATTGGTAAAAATATAAAACGTTAACTTTTTATACAAGTCTTCCCTCAAATTTCTAAGTTTTCCCTACCTTGGATTCACCGCATAACCTCTACATATTCTCCGTTATTTGGTAGAAGAAGAAGGAATCGGTGTTCCAGCTCTGACCACACATGGCTAATTTCTAAAGATATTGTTTTAAACGGATTTCCTTTGCTTTATACTTTTTAGTCCTATTTATGTCTTAGATCGGCGAGCGATACACTTGATCGATCACAAGCTTCTAGTCCAATCAAATCACACCACATATGTCGTCTCCATAAACCATTCAATACACTGTGCTTTCAACTGCACCTCCATATAGCATCTGTATCTTTTGGAAATTCAAAAATGCCAACAAATGTGAAAATGGTGAAAACTATTGAAGGGTTCTGAACAAAAACTCAAAGATGTCAGCTTCAAAATGAGCCATAGTTGACTTTTTTACGACCCTTGTTGACACTTATATTAAGCTGGAAATTTGATCCTTCCTTTTTGGTACACCCTTTACAATAAAGTCCTATTGCAATTAGTTTTCAAATTAAATCTTAACATTCATGTCATTAGTAGTCAAATACTACATCTGGCAATAAACACTTACAAGATCTCAGATAATATGTAACACAGTATAAATGGAAATTACTTTCCCATACATTGTATATCATATCTAGTTTTCGATTACATAACGCACATGATGACAGGATGTCATATTATGATGGACGTACACCTGATATATGTTTGACATGTAATGGGTGTGTTTATCTTGTCAACCATATAGCATAACAATTTACTGTACTGTATAACCATGTAGGCCAGAGAGCCGTGCAATGGAAAAGGTGTTTAAAAATTGAGCTTTTATCGTAGGAAAAATATGAAAATCTTGCAGCACATAATTGATCAAAAATAATTAGCTACACATAATTGATATTATTTATAAACCTCTATCTATATCCAAAGCTTACAACTGTACTATCCCATCAACAACACTCTAAAATTATCCTTAGAACACATTAAACTAATCAAACCAGTACTATAAAACCACTAAAGTGCCTTAATGAATCCGAATTGTTCATAGTTGGTCATCATTGAATAGTTTTAAATAAACATTTCAAAATGCATTTACTTGAACAGTTGTTTATTCTACACCCCCTTCTATGAAGTAAGATAAACGCCAAAATCCATTTCATAGCACCATTTTGTTTACCTCACATATGGGTAGAAGTTGAGGGTTTTAGACAAATCTTCCTATGTTCTCAAGCGTCATTTTATTTAACATTAGTGTATTAGCTCTTCTTGAATTTCTTTCTCAGAAATATTTCTTTTAATTTTGCTAACACCCGTATGTTTGAAATGACGCAGATTTGACAAAAAAAAAAAAAAAAAAAAAAAAAAAACATTAAAGCATCTAGTCCACGTGTTAATTGTGAGATACTATCGTTTCGGTTGATAAATTACGGATTCGGTATTACATACAATGCTTTAAACCTGGACTAATTTAGAAACCAGTTCAAAAAAATACAGAAAATAATATTTACCAGATGGGTCTTGTAAAATCATGATATGATTCAAAATAGTTTGAAAGATTTTAAGTTAAAACTACCTTATTAGTCCATGTTATGTAGTTAGTAAAAAAATTGCCTTTTGTTCTGAAATTGGTTTTCAAAGGATGATACAAGATAAATACTCGTTATCTACTAGAAATTATCTTGTTGTGATTCACTTTTAGTTATACAGTTTACTAGAGGTATACTCTTAAATTAAGTCTGTGCTGGAAGCTGCTTCCATTAATGGCTGTTATTGAGGCAGAGTGGTGCACTATCCTTCCATTACAGAACTTTGATCCATTACAGCTAGGATATTGATATCAGCCTTTAAACAAAGATGAACCAATACCAAGTCTTGCTGGGCATGTAACAAAGGCATCCTTTTAACTAACCTAACACTTAAAACAAACATTTAACCTTTCTTAAAACGAATTAGAAGAAAATATTATGATTTTTACAAGCCTGCCAATACGGTTATAGCCTAACAGACATATTTTCCAGGGTGATGGGACCTCTTTTCACTTTCACAGTAAACTATTGCCACTCATCCAACACTCATCCTTCACTAATACTTGGGTTAACATACGAACGTAGTGGTAATCCATCTAAAATAATTGATATATTATACTTAAAAGTTTTAATCCTTGTTACAACTAAAAGCTACTCAAAACTATTTCTACTGATTATCTTAAGAACTTTCAATTGTTTTAATAATTACCCTAGTTATATTGTTTGATTTCTCTAAAACTAGCCTGCTGTTTACGTTCAAGTATTAAAATTCATGTTTTCGGCCCCTGGACTATGTTATGTTAAGACGATAATAGGGTTTTTACACACCTCAGTCAAATAGTCTAATAAATTTATAAAAAAAAGTAGTTCCAATATTTGTTAGACTATTTGACTGAGGTATGTATAAAACCTATTATTGTCTTCACGTTCAAGTATAATGTGGTAACGTCAAAATTTTGTGATTGAGCTTATTCCATTACAAATGCTGTTCTTACATACACTACAAAAAATTTTGAATATTTAAAGAACTATATTTGGACAAGTAAAGCTATTTTAAAATCCGTATTAGATCTAAAATGCTTATGAACTAGAATTAATTAAAATCATTTCTTAATCCGTGGTATCAGTATACATAAAAACACATATATCTCAAGTCTCAAGGTAAAAGTGGAAGGTAGTAAGGGGTAATATACCTGTTTAACACAAACCCCAATGATTCACAGTTTTCCTGATTTTAGTACGTTTGTACTTATTTATGTATAGTGGGAAACATGTGTATCTTATCAAAAACATTTCTTTGATTTTTAACCATTAGGTTGGTTTGGTGTAGGTTGGTACTAAAATTTCCCGTAAAATCCTGTCTGGCAATGCTTTTGTCCCGGTTTCGGGGATTTTTTCTCTTCAAACCACATTACAAAGACACTGGATACGGATCCATGCAGTGCTGCTACCTTTGGGTGTTTCACTGAACTACATCCACTCTCGGGGTAACGCAGCACAGTCACCACTGCTCTTTTGTGATTCGTCAGACTGAAATATTTGAATGCCAATTGCGTTCGCTGATTCGGTTGCGCGCCGGGGCTTCGCCCGCCACTGGGGAGCGCCTGTAAAGTCGGCGCGCGCAGTCAACGTGTTAAAGTACATTATAATTAGATACACTGGAGTAGGTCTGCGTTTACCTATTAAACATAAAACATCATCTTGAATGCGTAAATCTGTAATAATGGAGTTTCAAATTAATGTAATTTTCAACAATAAACAAACTATAAACATATCAATATTCATTTTCATATTCAATTTTGTACTATTCTTATTGAACTTGAAGGACAACGTAAATGCAAAATTTTATTCCTCATTTATGCTTTGTTTCCTAATGAGTAGTATTTATGTATTACCTATTATTCTTTTGTCAATAATTCAATTTTTTTATACATTGTAAAATGTGTTGTAGCTAATTGGGTTTTATAGTCTACTACTGTTTCACACCTTTAGTGGTTTAGGTTTTTTTTTAAATTTTTACATAAATAAAACACAACTATTGGCTTCATAGTTCATGGAAGACTATTTAAGTATCATTGAATTAAAAAGTTCTTCCTAAGGTTATTGCACATATCTTATTGAATATTTAATCAGTTTTAGATCAAGACAATACTAGTTAAAATGTAAATCAACTCTGATATCCAAAGAACTCTGGTGCATGCATGTAGCCGGAGTTAGCACCGAGGATGCCGGATTGGCTAATCTTATATTTTTGCTGGCATTGTTTGAGCTGCGCACTGATTTGATATAATCTGCGCAGTGCTTCTGCGTTGCTTGCTACCATACAGCTCACTACAGCGCCGGCACAGTCACTGCTGGCCACGTCCTGATCTGCCAGAAGACGGAGTTTAGGCCGGGTCGTCAAGTATAGGTTGAATATATCGTTGTGTGCGTTGTTGTACACCTGAAAGCATGTGCAATCATAAGTCAGTTGAAGGCTTTTATTCTCTAAAATAAGTTGGTTCTTTAGAAAGAACATTTTTTAAACTTCCAATTATCAGGGACAGCTGGAGCTGATTACGAACAATTAAAAATATTCAGAATATTCTCAGATTTTAACCAGTGACCTTCTCATTATTCGACCATTACCACGTTTATCTAGTTACCCATCTAACATTGGATTAATACCTTATTAGGATATCATTATGGTGAAAATGTCAGAGTTTGCTGGGTAAAATTTAATAAAACAATGAATTGTTTTTTACCTCGAACATACTGATATATATATGTGATAGGAATCCAAATGAAATTACTTTTTAGAAAAATGGTATTATTTGTACTTGGTTATTTTTAAACAAATAATAAATTACTCGAAAATCACAATACATTATCATACATTTATTTTTGATGCGTGACTAAAAAACTGTTGAACTTTCATAGAAATGCAATGCAAGGTACTACAAGTTATCAAGTTAGCACTTCACCACTGATCTATGAAGAATTATACTCACCGTATATTTGCACTGGTCGTCCTTGTCACAAGTGGCGATTTCCTTGAGTTTATCAGTGTCTATTTTCTTGATAGAAATCGCCGCCTCTTCCACAGCCTTGGTGACTTCTTTTTTGCAGTTGGCTTCCTTGACACATTTCTCTCGAGAGTTGACGAAGCCAGATTTTGCTTCCTGATGGAGGAAACATTTTTATATTTATAATTTACGGAAAGTAAATAAAAGAAACGTCTTATAACACTTAAAACATATATTTACGCTTATACTATTACTCACAAGCCGGTAAATATACAAAAAAGGTGGTAAGTGGTACCATCCTTACCACCTTTTTTGTATATTTACCGTCTTGTGAGTAACAGTATAAACGTAAATATATGTTTTAAGTGTTATAAGACGTTTCTTTTATTTACTTTCCGTAAATTTAATAACACGTACAATGCTGATCAAGAAGTTATTTATTTATAATTTATATCATAACACAAGGAAAATTACATATTATCATTAACAGATTTATCATTAATCTTCACAAGTATGGTAGACTACATACATAATGAATACATTCTTATAATTTGGTAAATGGTTTCCCCCGATAGCTAACTTAACTGTGTGATGTTTTATTGTTGAAACCATCCAAACAGTTATTTAAAAGTGCCTTATTAATTAAATATTATAGAAATCACAATTAATACTTTTATGATGGTCTTTGAACGTAATATTATTTTTCAAAAACGTAACAAAAATAAAAAACAAAAGTGATTAATCTCCCATTTAAAATGGGTCACATGTTAAGTGACATCAAAGCTCATAAGCCTTCTATTTGTTAATTACTTTAACCAACCTACACAGTTGCAAAATCATTAATCAACTGATTGGCTGGAATATATATCCAGGTATTTACGCCGAAACTGAGTCAGTCATAAATTGTATACTGAAGTTTCCAATTAGTGGATTTTATTGGGCATTTTCACGCAATGGTTAAGTTGTGGAAAAGTAATCATCCAAGATCACGCAACGTTTTTACTACCCTAAAATCAACTTTGGGTTTAAAGTAAACACACTGCTTGAAAATATATTTGATTCTCATAAAGATATGACCAGTGGATCACAAGTAATACTATTTAACTAGGCATAAGTATAAGGAAAGTCGATTAAGACGTGGGAAATCTGATAAATGTTAGTTATAATTAATTGTATGATCCATCTGTTTGCCACCTACACAGGATGTAAACCTTTAGATTTTAGTATACATTTTCATGTTTTTTTTTATATAGACACAAAAAATCCAACTAAGCAATGCTGTTAAACTTATAACCTCTTTTTGTATAGTTGTCAATGATGTAAATATGATATAATTATCTGCTTTATGTAGCTCCTAATAGTCCATTAAATTCAGTTTATCAAAGTAAAGTATAGTATTCCTTTACTGTAAACATTAAATACAAGAAGATTTCTAAGATGATTTAACTTTCTACGAACTTGTGGTTAAAGCAAATTTTCTCTCTAGATTCACTCTTAGGATTAATTTCATTGGTCCAATGTGTGTTTAGGTTTGCTGACTACAGTTAAGTTTGCCTTTACGTTAAGGTTAAGAGGAACGAATTATGTTGAATGCGTCATTAGAACAATGCTTAAAATAAATGTTTTATAAACATACAAAACTATATTATGTCTAGTTATCTAAATTAGCACTGGATTGGCATATATAAGGGCATAAATGCACCAATAATAGTTAACGTTTACCACTATAGTTTTAGTTGAACTAGGTTAGTCTCATAACAGTAATAGTTGTATAACTATTCCCCGCTCATACCCTTTATTCTGTATCTAGAAAACACCTCCATTAATTTTGGTACTTGGTATTAATTCAGTATAGGTGATGATTTAAAAAACATTAATGACACTGTGAAATGCTATGCAAGCCTTGAGATCTCATTTAACTATGTAGTCAGTTATTTAGTTCAATTTAAACACGTGTTTCTGTTACACTAAAAAAAACTCAAGAAAAATATTCAAAAAACACTTTTCTCCCTTGTTAGCCGTCCATACCTTTATCATCTTCCTATCCTGAGTAGTGAGACATTGAGGCGCTGCTCTGTGCAGAGCCTCACACTCTTCTATAGCCTGAGTAAACCTACAGTTGGTCTCCATCCTCACACATAGAGAGTCTACGGTGCGATCAACCTGGGGTAGCGTCTGCTGAAGAATGTCTGAATGGAAGAAGTCTGCTCTTTTGAAGTAGAACACATAGTCATCACTTGCCGCCACCTTAGCAACCAGAAATAATATTAGAAATTTTAATTATATATGCAGTTTAACTATAAATATGCCTGCATGGTTAAATTTGTTTATTGAATTTCAAGATTGATCCAAATTTTAATTCCCCAATAGGATTAAACAATATTACTATTTTTCAATACAAATCGCTACCCTATTATCATAACGTTTATGAAGTTGTTTTTATTATATTTCCTGATAAGAATAACAATCATTTTAATTCAATAAGAATATTTAATTTCGTTAGCAGTTTTGTTAACCAACTCCTTTTAAGAGTTCATAAAATATGCTCAGTCATATTTGATCTAGGATAGAATTAATTTCCATAGAATTAAGTCTTTAAACTTAACTAAATGCTAGTATTTTATTTATTTTTTCGAATGTAAAATATTTTTACATACCACATAAACAATGGTCGAAACAATACAAAGCGTTACGATATGTGTCATGGTTCCTTATACGTAGAATCTGAAACAATGATTGTTTTTAAATAATCGCTTCAGTGATACGATTTCATTTATCTTAGTAAGATCTATCTTTTTAATATCTATGGGGAAATAATTAGAACTTCTATGGCCATTCGATAACTTTAAAATGTGTCATTATGTATTATGTTATCATTTGTAATACTGTACTAATAATATATATATATATATATATATATATATATATATATATATATATATATATATATTGAGAACAGATCAGCGCATTTCATAATTTGTTTAAGCCACGATTATTTTTTATATATATATATTTCTTGTTATGTTCACTGTGATCGCTTTTAATGGTGTTTCCTCTGTTATAATGGGTAACCGTAATGTATATTTTAATATTCCATTCTTTCATCTGATGTTTTAAGACAAAAGAGAGTTTGATCAATATTCACCCTATGGAGGTCCCATACTGGTCACTATATAATGTACAGAATGGTCTAATTAACAATAATATATGCTTAGGATTGGCAAAAATCGACACTAAAACTGTAAGGTAATCTTTTAAAACATCTGCAAACGGTATGCACCTTTAAACTTTATACAAATATTGCACTTTTTGGAAACTAAACGATTATTCAACTTAAAGTATAATCACGAGGTAGAAATCTTAGTGTTTTACTATTATTACGATTTAAGACATTGCTGTTTCTTTTTCCTCAATTTTTATAAAAAAATACAACAATAGCTAGTTCACACAAATGTAGGTCTAAAGATATTTGAGTAGAGAATACGAGATAGAATTCATAGCGTTTTACTATATACGATTTAAGACATTGCCGTTTCTTTTCCTACAAGACATAAAGACATAAAAGAGCAATAGGATGAGGTAAAGTTTATATTACTTACGTTCCAACGATGCGAAGTGGGTCGCAGCTTTACGCCTCATTTTATAAGCAATCTTAATATATGGAGCCTCATATTCCGTCGTAGGCTTATGACAGCACTTTGTCACATTGTGACGACCGTAGTAACGCTGAAAACCGCAACTTATCACGATTTTGTGCTTTAGAATATGGTATTCCTTGTTTAAAAAATGGTACAGCTGTAGTGCAAGATGCAATCTTACAAAACCGTAAACGAATAAACTGATAAAATAGTTTAAGGAATCTACAACTAATGTTTATGTACTACATAGAGGCTATGTAATCTAATTTTGAACCTTATTTGGTAAAGATTGACTTCTGAAAAGTGTAGCCACCACGTGAGTTGTATAACGTGAGTTGTATTGCTAAGCTTTCTCGTTTCAAGCCAAAAGGTACATAGTATAAAACTTCTAGCATGTTGACCTCGATCTTCGAGCATGTTTTTTTTGTTAGATCATCCGTCTCAAAAAGAGAAACAACATAAAAATGACCCTGGCATGGAAACAAAAAGGTTTATAAACAAGATATGTTTCTCCAGCTTTTTCCTATTTAAAAAGTCCACCATACGATAATAACTGTACCCTTAACAGTTTATTTATTTTTTTAGCAAAACTTAATCAGTAAATTTACTTATTTAGTTTGGTTTTAAGAATGTTTATTTATAAATGATAAACCTATTTCATTAATAACATAAAAGACATATGATTGAATAGCACAACTTTATATCTTTCATAAAAGTTTGACTCAAACAAATGCAATTCGTTATTTGATAAGGCTGGAAGGGGCAAAAGTATCAATTTTGGCATCTATAATGATATTCCCATATCTAGGTTAATTGTTATTGATAAATCCCAAAACAGCTTTACATCCGGTTTGGCTCTATTGACCCGTCGTATATTGTGGTTTGCCGGATCTGTTGTTGGAGTATTGCATATGAAGTGTATACTTATGTTTTTGTTTTATTGTTTAAGATAAATTATTCAAAAATATGATTTGTGTGGTTTTAATATTGGTATAGGTGATTTGGAAATACTTTAAATTGGTTTTAAATAACCCGAGTTTACTGAATATTTAAAAAATACCATGGGTTTATAGCTGTATTTTGTCAAGAGGGTGCTATGGATAAAATTGATCTTGTTACAAATTTTAAACAAATTATTTATAGCTCATTTTACCACTCACTTTGGATATTTTCCACTGAGATCGAACATAGCCTTCGGTCTTATATGTCAATGTATATCTAAAAAGTAAAAGAGAATAATTAAATATTTTGATAACTCGACATGGCTTCAGTTTAAAACTTAAAAACCTGGAACAAGACTTAAATATGATCACGATAGTCAACATTACGAAACCTAATCTATTTAACAAATGTTTTGCTAACATTTAATTACAACATATGGGTACTGCAGTCCATTATCAGTTACGTTTTAATACCATTAAGTAACACGGTCAATATCTTTTGAAGTCTAGTACCTGTGGCTCTGCAATAAATGTTATAAGTTGCCAATGATAGATAGTTCTTTTAATAGTGTTTTTTAAATTTAAACATATGGTTATAATTATACTAAACAATATAATTTCTAGGTAAATATAAAAAGCTATACAGTTACAAAAATATATTTAAAAAAGACAATAAATAAATAATAGGTTCAAAAAATAATTCTTATGATACACTCTACTTGGATGATTTTCAACAAATATTTTCTCAGGACAACTTTTAGTCGATCCAGTTTTTGTTCTGTGTAAGTAGCATTTATAGAACTTAATCTGCAAGAAGAGATGCTCTTTTCTGCGGAATTGGTGAATAGAAATGCAATTCTTGTAGTGGCCAGCCCTCCTTAGTTCCGCATGGCTTCCTAGATTGTTTATTCACTTTAGTGGCCGTTCTCCCGTTTATTTTCCTTTAACGTTCCTTTTATTTTGATTTTAAAGACACTCTCATCAATTCAACTAATGTTGTTTTTAACTTACATGTTTTTATTGCATCCCATAAATTGTTCTTTTATGAAACTCTTTCCTGGAAGTGATTTCGATAAAAACGTCTCACTAGTAAAAATTGAGTTCTAATCGAGTGTAAACAATAAAATAGTCCAAGTAAAACTAGAATAGCTGAAACGTATGTTTACTGTAAGTATTTGGCAATGGTTCTTATGCAATAAGAAAACTAACAGTAATACATTATGTTTGATACATATACTTATTAAAGCTTATTACTATACTGCTGCGGCTAAGAAAATATCAAAAGTAAGATTATAGCTCGTTTCAGTTACGTTGAAATGGAACACAATGATTCTAAGAAAAAAATATTGAGACAAAACATCCAGACACAGGAGAGGATGACGTCGATGTCGATTTGTTCAGAACAGTGTAAACTTGTTGGAACACTTTCATGAATATTAAGTGGGACTCAGTCTTTGGAACCTAGCTACAAAACAAACACAACACAACTGATTGAATTCTCATTCTATTTAGAGTAAAACTGTTAATAGTCACTAAGTCTAGCTGAAATTCACTATCTACGCCGTCAGGGAACATTGGGTTCGAGTTAGAATATGGCAATGGAAACTAAGTCCTAAATGATAAACATATGACTGAGGGTTGAATTATCTAGAACAATTTACTTTTGTTGAGACTTCCTATTGAGCTTGATAACCAATCGTAAATTTATGAGGGCATAAGTTAAGTATTTTATATCAAGAATGAATAACAAAATAAATACAATTGAAACCTGTGCTAAACCATGCTATGAAAGCTATGGAAAATCATAGAGTAAACTAATAAATTAATCAGTGTGCATGAATATAATAATGTGTTCCTTTTCATGCATACTTCATCACTCTAACACCCTTTTCACCAACTTTTTAAGTCTATGAGCTACAGTATATATTTCCCAAAAACGATATTTTTTTATTCCCTTCAATTTATTAGCTACATAAAAAATTTACAAGTCAACCAGGTGATTTCAAACCAATGTAGTTTATAAACCGTATCATTGGCCAAAACCAAAAGAAACTATTATTATTCAATAGCCTGCAATCATGCAAGAAACAGCGTGGCAATGAGGTCAACAATCGTAACCGCCACATAACTTTGCACGCTAGCTTCATTGCACGCGACACGGTGATCAGTAGTCAACACTAGTACACTCCAGAAACAGCTGTTCAGGCTGTGTATTACGTGACGTCACCCACTTGTTACAAAATGATACTTAACCTTCCATTGACGTTTTGTTTAGCACAACCGTCTGTAGCCCAACGGCTACAGTGCTTGCCTTCAAATTTGAAATTGCTGGACCAATAACAAGCGACATAAATGTCATTAATTATTACAATAAAAGAGGTCATCTAACAAATAGCTTATTTCCTATATAGGTAATTCGATAAAAGGTTAACTTATCTAATGAAAATGCCAAAGGCTTGGGGTGTTCTCTAAAAAAGTAAGAAATTTAATGCAACTTGGAAAAATATGCAAAAAACACCATTAAGTAAATTTAGTCATTGTCAATTAATTTTCCTTTGAAAATATTGTAAATTAATTGAAAAATAATATTAACGAGTTGCTTTGCCAATGATTGGAATCATAAAACACTAGTTGGAATACAATTATTATCAATTTGTATTTTATAGTTGAATTTATCGCACTATTAATTAAAATAAATGACACATATTTGTCTACAATATCAATAAAATCATGTTCATACAACAATTTACTTTTTATCTACTTCTTTCTATGAGCTATTGTTGTTATGGTTCTTGTTATCATTATTCCTTATTAATCTACTTCCATCTATTATTATAACAATCTAAAGTATGTGTATTCAAAAAGGAACTGCGATGGACTGAAATAAATTTGGCAGTCAAGTAGCTTGCTTTAATTTTAAAACAAGATATATCAACTAAATAAGATATTTTATCAACCTAGCTGTTAAAGAAACATGACTGCAATGCGGCACTATATCGTAATATTACTCTGGGACTTGTCCAACACACAAGACTCCAACACTATCTGTGAAATCTACTAATAATTTATACATTAACTTAATCATACATTGCTTTGATATTTGATAGATAGTTTTTCTCACAAGAAATATGAATATGCTAGTTAAGTATATCCTGAGCATAGCAGTTGTTACACACCTTCGATTTTCTCTATCTAAATAACTCTATTAAACCTTAATTTGGTTTTATAAAATGGGACAAATAAGTTTAAAATGACTGAACTTAAATACTATTATTTGAAGTGTACAGATAATTTCAATTACAGTTTATTTGATTTTTTACCTAACATTTTTATGTAATGATTTACTCTATTTAATCCAAACAAATGCACAAAAAACTATTTTATCTAATCTGCCAGATACAAGAAGAGAAGAGATCTAGAGAATATGTGTCCCGTGAAATTGAACAGCTATGTTGCAAGATGCAAGATATCCGTAAATATTTACGATAAAAGCCACAATATATTGTTTGGATTTTATTTTTATACTTAGTTAACAACGATTTTTTCCATTAAAAGTGCGTTTTCTTACTTTTAAGATATTAAAATTTTAATATGGACAGTAAAAAAAATATTCAAAGCTTTAAGATTTAAAAGTGCAAAACATCGCAAAACTATATTTAATCTTAGGTTAATTTGTATTTAAGTTCTTTGCATTTTGCAGCTGTAGTTGAGAGGGAACTCTTTGAGATCGGGCCTTGTGCAAACTTTGAATTTTGTGATAACGGCTGAACATATTAGGGCCAAACTTACCAGTGTTATTTCAAATTACGGTAAGCATGTTAATTAACAACAACAACAGAAAACAATTTGATTAATTCAAAACTAATATAATTTTTTACAATAGGCTTGGGAGTTATTATGGTAGTAATGAGATAACAACGTAAATGTAAACGAAAAATCATTTAAGACCCTTCTTAGCAAGCTTAAATCTCATCGAAATACAGTGGAAAGGAAAATATTCGGGTTGAAACAATTAATCAATGAATGCAGAGATTATTATAGGGCACTAGCAAAACT